GCATTTACTGAAAGCTGTACTGACCATGAATGGAAGACTATTGGGTGCCAATGCATGTGGGCAAAACTAAATATGCAGTAGGCATAAGAAATGAGAGTTCAATGAGAATCAGAGCAATCAAAAAAGGCTTCATGGCAAAAGAGGGCTATAAGCTGGGCACTGAAGGGCAGATAGAACTTGCACAGCCATTGGAGAGAGAAGACTCAGCTGGACAGGCACCCAGCACAAGTGGAAATGTGGTGGCAACTGTGAGCAGGTCGTGTTCACAGGTCAGCAATGCCACTATGTGTGGGGCAAAAGCTGTGTCCAGAAGAGCTGGGAAATGAGGTTGGAAAGTCAGGAAAAAGCCAAGTCATGGAAAGCCTTGACTTTGCTTTGGACATGGTAAGCAGTAGGACTGGGAAAAGTTTCTGAGCAGGAAAATGACATCATAGAATCACAGAGGGGATATCAAAGTCCCATAAGGCTGAGAAACAGGTGACACCCATGGTGTGACTGGCAGAGCCAGGCCTCCCTAGCTCCAGTCTCATTGTCTCCTCCACCCACTCCTCAGATGAGCAGGAAAGACCAGGCACCTAATCTTGGATTCCCCAGGCTAGGGCCTGATCCCCTGCCTTTCCCTGGGATGCTCCCTGCTCCTTCTCCCACCCTGCTTGACCCCTTAGGGTCAACAGATATCCTCTGTGGGAGGAGAGTTGGCAGCTATTTGGGGAGGTGAGTCAGTCACCTGGGCATGGCCTCCCCTTAGTGTGGCTTACTTCAGTTGTGGAGGGGATGCTCCATCTCTTGCCATAGGCTTCCCCTTCCTACTGTGCCTGTGGCACTGGTCATTCACTCCTGCCTGCCATAGGCTCTTCTTTACCTCCAGCAGTTTCTCTTGTCCTCACCCCACCTGAGGGGGCTGAGCTAATGTACCTTTCTCAAAACCCAGAACCCACCCACTCTAGGACTCTGGTTCCTTTCCCTGCTCTTGTGAAACTCCCCAGTTCTGTGGGCAGATGCCCTGGCAGCACCAGCACAGAGCAAGTAGCTACAGGCCAAGGGCCCCAATGCCCACTCCTGCCGTCAGCGCTCTGCAAGCCCTGGCCAGGACGTCTGTTTGCCCGGCTGCCGTGCCAGGCCTCCCTGCTCCCAGCCCCGCCCTCCCGGGCAGCGGCCCCAGCATGGCGAGGCAGGCCCCACCGCAGAAGCCCTGCACAAGCCTGCAGGTGGCGCAGGGTCTCCCCATGGTCGGACACTATGACTAGCGACTGGAGAGAGCTTGCCAGACTAGAGTTGTGACGCATCAGATTTTGGGCACTTCAAAAGGACTTGAAGACTTCCTTGGGCAGAAATTTCAAAATTGTACAGGCTGAAAGAGGGGTTGTTTTGCATAAAACCAAAGAAGCAAAGTCTTTCTTTCTTGGTCAGAATAGACTAGATGTCTGAGTTCTCCGTCTGGAAACTGGGACATGGGAGTGGTCACGTAGAGGGGGCTTCTCAGCACCTCCTAGCTTCCGGCACCGTCAGTGTCCACACAGCTGCTCTCACCCTCTCGTCACCCTGAGGTCTCCCTCAGAATCAGGGGGCGTGGGGTGGGGGAAGAGGAGAGAACTGACGTTGGGTGAGCATCGGCTGTGCCAGGCCCTCGGTGCCAGCCTCGGTGCTGTCCATCTTTGGAGGCGGTGCTGTTGCTTCCCCCGTCTGTACCGCACACACTCATACGTGCACGCTTTATGGAGGAAGGAACGAGAAAAGGACCTTCGAAGAGATTATGTGGTCCAAACCTCTCATTTTATAAACGAGAGAACTAAAGTGCAGCGAGTTTAAACAGTTTGCCGAAGGTCCCACGGCAGAGTCCCTAATGGCGGACCATCCCGCCTCTCGGATCCTCTTCTTCCTCCTCTCACGGGTGCCTGCCTTTCAGCATTAAAAAAAACCCCAATTTTCCTCCATACGGTAGAGTTGGGGTCCCCTATGGCAGGAGGCCCCCAGGGAGTCCCGAGTGTGAGGGGACAGCCTTTCATGACCGGAGGAAGGCCTCTCGGAGGAGCCGCGGGCGGCCCTCCCGACCCCTCCCGCCCCCACAGTCATCCTGACGGACGAGGAGGTTCAGCGGAAGCGGGAGATGATCCTGAAGCGGAAGGAGGAGGAGGCCCTGAAGGACAGTCTGCGGCCCAAGCTGTCGGAGGAGCAGCAGCGCATCATCGCCATCCTGCTGGACGCGCACCACAAGACCTACGACCCCACCTACGCCGACTTCACCCAGTTCCGGGTACGTCAGCCTGCGGGCCAGGGGGCGCGGGCGCGGGCTGGGGCACCCCGGCACGGAAGCCGGGGACAGCTCGCAGGCTGCCCTGACCTTCCGGCCTTGGGAGGCCTCCCTCCCTCCCCTGAAGACCTTCTTCGAAGCCATTCCTGTCAGTGATTAGGGCCAAGGTAAAAAGGTGGCCCCCAAACGTGAGCCTCTGAGCCCCTATCTTTCCCTTCCAGCCTCCAGTTCGAGGGAATGAGGATGGAGGGAGTCATCTTTCCAAACCCAACTCAAGACACACCCCCAGCTCCTGGGAGGACTCTTCCTCCTGCTCAGATTGCTACACCACCCCTCCAGGTAAACAGGACAGGGTGTCGCATCATGCCACCACCTAGCAGGCAAGCAGGGGAGAGGAGCCCACCTCACCTGCCCTTGGGCTGTTGGATGGAAGGAGGCTAAGGCTCTCTAGTGGAAAAGTCATTTATATACTGTGTGCTGCCAGGTGTCCTCAAACAAGCCCTCATTTACAGAGGGGGTGACTTGGCTGAGGGTCCTTTCTGGGGAAGAGGTCATGCTGGGGTTCAGGCTGCGCAGGGTTGGCCTCCTGAGCCCGTGCTTTTCCTCTGAGCCAAGACCCTGCCCTGGCTCCCTCCCTGGGGGTAACCCAGTTCCTTTAAATCGTGTTTTGATCCTGGGCCCTTTGGAAGGTGAAGTTTGGAGTGAGAAGGAGAACATGTGGGTCCCACTGCAGTCCACTCAAGCCGGGGACTGCTATATAGCCCTGGAGAGACTCGCACCTCCAGCTCACCAGGGAGCGTAGGAGGTATTGTGCTTTTCTTCTTACGGCCCTATTCACCTTCCTCTTCCTCATCCT